TGCCAAATATAGGTAATCAACACAACACTGGACTAATCATATAAAGGATACTCAAACAAGCATCAAGGTGTAAACAAACCATACCACGGGCGGGTATAGATCCCGCGATCAGAAAGTCTCAAAACTCCAGACCGTCGCGTTAGCGACGTACAAGTGGCAGCTATCACACCACAATTCCACACCTCGTATGTGTGCGCGCACAGTGCAGATATCATCTAGTCTAATACTAGATACAACGTAAGACGCCAACAAAGTCATCTGAGACAAAGGTCATCCAGTCCTCACATAGGCTGACTCCACACAGCTTTGCAAATACTAAGCTCACTCTGAGAGAATATGAAGTAAAGAAATTAGAAGACTCTGTGATGCTATGAACAGAAGAAATTATGGAGATGGTTTGGCCATTTTACAAAGGACGGGGCAGAACAGGATGACCAATAAAATGTAGACATGATGGGTGGTGAGGATGTTACTGTTCGGAGTTTCAGGTGAACTGTGACATGTGTGCTTTTACACACACACACACACACACACACACACACACACACACACCACAACACACACACACACACACAAAGAGAATGTTGACATTTTACTGCCTAAGACCACCCTACCTTGGTGAGAAAGCACGGATGTGTTAACTAGCTATGAGAGAGCACCAAAATGCTGCCGATGCCGACACCGATATTCAATTTTAGGCCGATACCGATACTGTGGCACATACCTAGTGCTAACAAAAACTTTGTTGTTGCTGTAGGGACAAGTTTTCGGTGAGCAAACACGATAATCCTCAGTCAAGGTCAAGAAGAGAACGGGGGGAATGGTAAAGCGGGGTAGACAACATGAGTGGGGAAAGGAGAAGGGTATTAACAGGACTGTTGTACATGTGCTGCAATACAGCTGTATACTGTCAGCTTCAAGGTAGGAGAGATTGTTCAGATAGAAAACGTACAGAAAACTTTCACTCCCTGTGTACCTTCTATCATCTGTACTACTGGGAATGACTGAAGTACCTTCAACTGCATTAAATGGAAAGTAGGCGAAAAAGATCCTGAGGGGACTGGTCCCAAACCTGAACATTGAAATCACTACACATAAGAGACTTGACAGACAGTGCAAAACACCTCCCATAAAATAGCAGGGGCACGACGAGTACACTAAGAGAGAACTCGAGGAGTGTCAGAGGTCCCCGACTCTTCAACGTCCTCCATCCAGGAATACGAGGAATGACCAAGTTGGAAGGAACTTTACAAAATCTTCCAATCAGTCCCTGACCAACCACACTTTTCAGCTTCACATGATGTGTCACATTCCTTCTTCCGGTTCACATGTTTCACATACCTGGAGAAGGTTTCGGGGGTCAACGCCCCCGCGGCCCGGTCTGTGACCAGGCCTCATGGTGGATCACAGTTTGATCAACCACTGTTACTGCTGGCCGCGCGCAAACCGACGTACGAACCACAGCCCGGCTGATCAGGCACTGACTTTAGATGCCTGTCCAGTGCCTTCTTGAAGACAGCCAGTAGTGTGCAAGACTCCTTCGCTCTAGTGTTGAATCTTACATCGAAGCATCTCACAAGTACTTTGTTTCCTTATCACTTGTAATATTAAACCATCAGCACAAGTTGTCCCCTCCCCCATCTCTCTCTCTCTCTCTCTCTCTCTCTCTCTCAGATCTTGTTCTCAAAACCTTACGAGTTGTCTAAGTAAGCCTTATTGAATATTAAAATGGTATAAAATACCGACAGGTTGTTAAGTAAGACACACATGCAACAGTTAGGTATCTTTATTCCGAAACGTTCCGCCTACACAGTAGGCTTCTTCAGTCGAGTACAGAAAAATTTATAGAAACAGAAGAGACGAGAAGATTATGTAATCAGTCCATCACCCTTGAAGTTTTGAGGTGGTCAGTCCCTCAGTCTGGAGAAGAATATTGTTCCATAGTCTGAAACAATGTGGAGTTGAAGTGACAGGATGGAGCCTTATATACCACCAGGTTGTGAGATGTAGGCCACTAGTAGAGGTAAGAATGTAGTCGTTGGGAGGTTCACATCTCACCACCTGGCGGTATATAAGGCTCCATCCACACACACACACACACACACACACACACACACACACACACACACACACACACACACACACAACCATAACACCGAGCACGTCTCCGGAGCACACATCAACCAGACAACTGCTGCAGCATAAGGGCGCCTGGCAAACCTGAGAATAGCATTCCGATACCTTAATAAGGAATCGTTCAAGACTGTACACTGTGTACGTCTGGCCCATACTGGAGTATGCAGCACCAGTTTGGAACCCACACCTGGTCAAGCACGTCAAGAAATTAGAGAAAGTACAAAGGTTTGCAACAAGGCTAGTTCCAGAGCTCAGGGGAATGTCCTACGATGAAAGGTTGAGGGAAATCGGACTGACGACACTGGAGGACAGGAGGGTCATGGGAGACATGATAGCAACATACAAAATAATGCGTGGAATAGACAAGGTGAACAGAGACAGGATGTTCCAGAGAGGAGACACAGAAACAAGGAGTCACAATTGGAAGCTGAAGACTCAGACGAGTCACAGGGATGTTAGGAAGTACTTCTTCAGTCACAGAGTCGTCAGGAAGTGGAATAGCCTAGCAAGTGATGTAGTGGAGGCAGGAATCATACATAGCTTCAAGACGAGGTATGACAAAGCTCATGAAGCAGAGAGGACCTAGTAGCGATCAGTGAAGAGGCGGGGCCAGGAGCCGAGTCTTGACCCCTGCAACCACAATTAGGCGAGTACGATTAGGCGAGTACACACGTACACGTACGTACAACACACACACACACACACCACACACACACCACACACACACACACACACACACACACACACACACACACACACACCAAAAAAAAGGACTCTCACTAACTCTGGATTATGTTGGTCTGCATTGGTGAAGGCAAACTACCACATGGGGACGAGATGTGGCTATTATTCCCCCAGGAACTGTGTTTTCATCTTCACGTAATGCCCCTCTCTCTATGCCCTGTATGTACGTACACGTCCATGTACACACACACATCTAGTAATATGTAGCTGGGAAGTAACTGGTATTTCTAGGTTCTATCCACTATACTTAGGAAAGATATTCTCCACAACGTGGATCACGCGATAAAAAATTACAATGGAATTGGCTGGCAAACTTGTATTATTTGGCCGAGGGGAGACATGAGCAGCAGCTTGCCACTCTCTAATGTAACCAAGACAACCACAGGGAGGCACTCTCCGTTTCCCCTCACCCCTTACTCCAATGATAAGACACTCACATGATCATGTCTTTCTTGCTTGCTTGCTTGCTTGGTTTTTTCTTTCTCTCTCTCTCTCTCTCTCAGCAGGATGACAAGAAGGACTGCACCAGTAAGCACCATCCTTCATTAAGACAGAACAGTCTGGTCTGAGACCTCATGCTAACCATATACAGAACAATATATTGGTCAACTTGGAGGATGTCACTGAGTCTGTCTTGACCTTGTGACATCCTCATATAGAGCTTCAACTACGTGATAACACTGTCCTCTATCAAATGTTTCATGATCTATGAAATGACTTAATAACATCTTACAAGTCTAACATGTTACCAGATTCTTCAGTCTTCTGACAGTAGGTATTAGAAATACTGCCGGAACAAATGTAAAAGTTTACCAGAGGAAACTGGATCACCAGGTCAGCCAAATGCCAGATCACCCAGGCTGAGATGGCTGTGAACCCGCGGGTCGTTAACAGCAACACCTGGTTGAACAGGCACTCCGCAAGAAAGCTTGGCTAAAGGCCAGGCTGGTAGGGTACTGGATCAGCCAGGCTGTGATGGATATGTGGGGGCAGCGAGTCACCAGCAGCAACAGCCTGGTTAACTAGGCAGGCACCAGATGTGCCTGGTCCATGGCCGGACTCCGGGAATAGACTCTAGGAACTCATCAAGGATATATCACACACAAGACACTCCCTGTGAAGCGTACGGGTGTACAGTATACTAATCGTTCATGAAACTGTCAACTAATTGCCCGCAACCTGTACGACCACAACTCAAGACTTGTAGTTGATGAGTAGGCCACATGTACAACACTTGAGTATCTTTAGTGCCGAAATGTTTCGCCTGCGTGGCAGGCTTCTTAAGTCGAATACAGAGGTGATTTTTATTTTGGAGGCATTAGTGACGTGGTTATTCTGAGGTGATCAATCACTAAGCCTTAATAGTAGGTATTAACTGCAGCAGAGGGACTGACCACCTACCATGGCTGACGAACTATCAGCTTGTTAAAAATTGTATATAATACCGACAAGTTGTAGATTAAGACATGTGCAACAGATGGGTATCTTTACTAATGAGACGTTTCGCTTATACAGTAGGCTTCTTCAGTCAAATGCAGAGGGAACAGTAGTAATGAAATAAAGATGTAATCAGTCTATTAATCTTGGAGAAAAAGTATTTGAGGTGGTCAGTCCCTCAGCCTGGAGAAGAGTTCAGCTCCATGGTCTGGAACGATATCGTTCCAGACCATGGAGGTAAGTGACTGACCACATCAAATGCTTTTTTCTCCAAGGTTGACAGACTGATTACATCATCTTTATTTCATTACTACTGCTCCCTTTGTATGTGACTGAAGAATCCTACTGTGTAAGTGAAACGTTTCATCAATAGAGATACCCAACAGTTGCACGTGTGTTAATCTTCGACTATCAACTTGTTAGTAATGTGTACCAGTTATATGAGGACTTAACGGTGACTTATCTCCAGCCTGTTGTTGTATCCTTTAAGACCTACAATGACTTAGCTCTAACCTGTAAGCCTGTACCTCAGTAATAAGACTTAGAGAGACTTGCCTTCAGCCTGTAAGCTGAAGGCAAGTCATTCTAAGGCCTAGTGTGACTTACGTGGAGCATGTAAGCCCAGAGGTGAGTAGAATGACTAACATAGAGCGTAGACCAAGAGGGTGAGTAAAGTGACTTACCTCAAGCCTGTACATCTCCGGGTCATCCATAGCGTCACTCTGGGAGTGAGTGAGGTGACCCAGGGTGAGAGGTGTGGAGGGTGAAGCTATGGGGAACAAGTCTCTTCTGACCCTGGTAGTGCCGGCACCTCCCGGGGTCAGTGGTTGCTTGATGCTGGTACCCACGCCGCTTCTGAAAACAAACACACACTAGTTAATGCACGAAAACCTCACAATATAGGAGAACCTCACTTTACAGCGCTTTGTTTTACGGCGTTCTGCTAATGCAGCGAGTTTCAATTATACCTATTCTTATTTATTCAGACTTCTTACAATAAATATATTCACTATAAGCCAAGGACAAAAATATTTTAAAGTAATGTGTGTACTGTATATACATTTTTTAGGTCTAGCTCTATGCTCACTTAATATATGAAAATGTGTATATGTTATCTAGCTTTTATATGCATTTGAAAGTTTGTCCTAGGACACAGTTCAGCTAGGAAACACTGGGGGAAGACAATAGTAACCCTTCGTAAACACACCCACTTGCCATAACGCTGTAAAATTCTGCATAATTCTGTATAATTCAGCATATGGCAAGAATATTAAAACAGCATAAATTCAGCAGCATAGGTAAAACTAGTAAACACAATGTCTTTCATGAACCTGAACATTATTCCTTCAGGATGCTAAACACAACGTAGATTAGACCCAACACCAAGCATACAGCCCCACCATCACCCAACACTTCAGGCAGCTGAAGAAATTAGAGACCAAAAAGCTTCAAATAGATATAAGCTGTATAGCCCTTGTGGCTTAGCGCTTCTTTTTGATTATAATAATAAATAATTCAAATAGATATGTGAGCAAAATCTTAGACAAAATCAATGGCCACTTTATTAGGTACACCCTATTAGTATTCCCCCCCCCCTATCCTTCCTTTGCCCCCGGAACCTGAATCGGGCAGACTGTAGCATTTAAACGATGCTCAGTTATTATGGGGCATGTGTGCCGGGAAAACATTCCCCACATTATTACACTAGCACTAGCACCACCACCAGCCTAAAATGATGACATAAGACAGGATGGATCCTTGAATGAAGTTATTTACGCCAAATTCTGACCCTGCCATCTGCATGTCCCAGTGAAAATCGTAATTCGTTAAACCAGACGATGTTTTTCATTCTCCAACTATCCAGTTCCGATGAGCCTGTGCCCACTGTAGCCTCAGTTACTTGTTCAGGAGTGGAACCCGGTGTGGTGGTGGTCTGCTGTACCCATTCCACTTCAAGGTTCGACGTGTTCTGTATTCAGAGATGCTCTTCTGCACACCATTGTTATAATGTGTGGTTATTTGAGTTACTGTCGCCTTCCTGTCAGCCTGTTACTGTCGCCTTCCTGTCAGCCTGTTACTGTCGCCTTCCTGTCAGCCTGAACCCATCTGGCTATTCTCTGACCTCTCTCATTAACAAGGTGTTTCCGCCCACAGAAAAGCCGCTCATTGGATGTTTCATTTTCACATTCTCTGTAAACTCAAGAAACTGTTGTGCATGAAAAACCCCAGTTTCTGAGCTACTCCAACAACCCCGTCTGGCACCAACGATCATTTCATGATCAAAATCATTTACATCACATTTCTTTCCCATACTGATCTTTGGTCTCAACAACCGAACCTCCTGACCATGTCTGCATGCTTTCAGGCACTCAGGTACTACCATGTGATTTGTTGATTAGATATTTGCATTAACTAGCAAGTGTACAGGAGTACCTAATTAAGTGACCACTGAGTGTATTAATAAAAAGTTTAGTCCGAGAACCTTGATCACTTCCAGCATGATCAAGGTCCCATGACAGAAAAGTTATCTAATAATTATGTCCTATTATTACTCATCCGTCTTACTGATATTCATTACCAAGGTTCATACTATCAAAATGTTTGCAACAGACAGCCGCCATGAATAAGTCGCAGTTTTCTTGCCACTGTGAGATCAATGATCAAGTCTGAGGTGCCTCGTCCCCGAGACCAGCTTCCTGGTACACCCTAACATTGCCACAACTACCACTCGTGGCCCCCGCCAATTACATAAACCTGGCAGCCCAAAATAGCTGACCAAGGAGTAATGATGCCCTGGATAACACACGCTCTAATGAAGCTACTGACTGACCTTTGTGACCTCACGGTCACCGCTCATGTCACGGTTGCTAACGCTTCATTGGTTGGTGGGGTAACATTAGTTGATAAAGTAAAGATGACAATTCTCAGCGGGATCCTCACTGGCTTCGGCCGGACACAGAACCAGTGACCTCAACCACCTCGCTCATTTACCTGCCAGAATAAACCTATTTTGCGAGCCTCGGTTAATGCCATTTTCCGTCACTAACTTTCAGATTAATCCGTACTATTATTATCACACGAGATCATCAATCATGTTGGTAGTGAATATCCATCACGTACTCTTCTGCCTTCTTCCTTGTCTCTCCCTCCTTGTCCACTATATTCTCTTTAGTATATTAAGTTTTGATTATATCTTGCCATGTTCAATTACTTTTCCATTGGGTCTAAATGGGGAAAAAAAATTAGACTGCAGAACAAACTTTTGGCTTTATAAAGCAATAACTTGATAAAAACGCACATCTAAACGCTGTCCCGACAAAACTTTGCTCTTCCAGTGACGTGAGGGTCATTACTTTTGAATTTTCACATACCTTAACTTATTTCCTTCATTTCTGGAATTAATCTGGTTGCAGACCTCTGAACTAGCTTCTGTATGTGCAAGTTTGGAAGTGAGCTGTACACAGGTGCTGTGTAATAGAGAACAGGCTCACATACCAAGCATCTTGAGCTGGTATTTGTTGCCATACTAAAGGTATGGTGTGCAAAGTATTTTCTTCGTCGCTCTGTTAACTTGCAAAGTACCCACCAGTGTATACCTTTGATCCATCAACTGTTATCAAGGTGTGACGCACCATAAATCCCCCACCATAAGTTACACTTATAATCAGCTTATGGCTGATTATAAGTGTAATAAAAATACAAACAAATATTGAACATGATCGCTACACAGACGGCCGTGTTCTAATATTATTTTTAGTCATAAGAAAGCGCTTAACCTGTAGGGGCCATACAGCGCCTGGGGAATGGCAGGTAATTATGTCTGATCCTAGGAAAGGAAGAGCAGCTCTTAACTCTTGGATTAAAAGCTCTTCGCCAGCAAAGCAGGACCTGGAAGGTCATGTTTATATGAAATCTTGCTATTCCGCCTCGTAGCAGTTCATTGTTTTCCTCTTAATATCTATGAAGCTGATTTGTCTTGCAAACAATCCACGAGGTGACCAATAATGGTCTTGATGTCTTGCAAACAATCCACGAGGTAAACAATAATGGTCTTGATGTTGTCTTGCAAACAATCCACGAGGTAAACAATAATGGTCTTGATGTTGTCTTGCAAACAATCCACGAGGTAAACAATAATGGTCTTGATGTTGTCTTGCAAACAATCCACGAGGTAAACAATAATGGTCTTGATGTTGTCTTGCAAACAATCCACGAGGTAAACAATAATGGTCTTGAAGTTGTCTTGCAAACAATCCACGAGGTGAACAATAATGGTCTTGAAGTTGTCTTGCAAACAATCCACGAGGTAAACAATAATGGTCTTGAAGTTGTCTTGCAAACAAGCCATGAGGTAAACAATGGTCTGGAAGTTGTAAGAAGTTACACTTAACATACCATCCTGATCATTACTACATCTACCAACACAGCAAACAGTGATCATGGTAGAGGCTGCGAAAGACGAGAAAAATCTCCAACAAGAAGCAATAACCATGGAAGAGAATGAGAAAGATGAGAAAAATACCACATGTACGTGTTTCATGTGTATGTGGTTATTAATGCAGCTTCACGTCCAATATGGCCGACAAGTAACGTGTGACGTCACATTCAAAACCCCAATAACGCATGGTGGTTTAGCGCAGCAACACGAGTATACTACGATTGTGAGGGTGAAGATGATCATTTGAGGACCTCAGATACAGTAGCATGCTGCAACAGTGTGTGATGTATGTTACAACATACGTCACACACTATGTTGCAGCATACATCCCTCTTGATCACACAGGAATATAATTCTCCTACAGACGGAAACAGTGAGCATAATTTTAAGCCTAGTGCTGGAGCCACCACGTGATCACTTGTCATAACATCACTCGTCCCCTACTATTATACTTGTTGTTATTGCATTTTTATTCCCACATTTTTAGATATCCTGCCACAAATACGATGGCTACACCTCCTGGTCTGCCACAACCTCCTGGTCTGCCACAACCTCCTGGTCTGCCACAACCTGGTCTGCCACACCACCACCTAGCCTGCCACTGGACCATACCCAGTACACTGTTCCTTGGGGAACTAGAAATAGATTTATTTAACAACACTCTGCAAATGCTCCTTTGAATTCCATCTCATTATTTACATCATTCAATTTGCCGGCTAAAACTTATACTACCTCGGATCATTTCAAAACAGCTCTGTCAAAGATGTCAGGTATACCATCACTCCCAAGGACGTCACAACAGTCAACTAACACCCAGGTACTTAGTAGTACAATCTCAAACAAGCAATCTTAAAAATGCAGAACAAGCCACATGGGGATGGAAATATTCAGCTCAAGATCCTCCACACTCTCGTGCGTCGTCAGGAGCTATGTAATGTTGCAAGACTAGCAACAGATACGAGGGGAAATTCTCTGAGGCAAGGCAGAAGGGTATCAGCGCCGGCGTGGATACGCACATGGGTGCACCTAGCCTGTGACTGGAGCATGGATCATGAGCAGAGTGGTCTAGCTCTCCACCTGCCACTCTCCCTAGGGTCTAGGTCCTGTAATGAAGCTAACCTACATTTACTGATTCTATTTTCTCTCCCCAGTCTGCCCCCTCTTAACCCCTGGGCGAGGATGGAGGGAGGGAACAAGAGGGAGCAGAATAGGGGGGGGAGAGAGAAGAAATGAGAAGGCGGAGACAGGAGGAGGGTAACGAAGAGAGGAAAGTGAAAGGAGGAGAGGGAGAGAAGGAAAGAGGGACAAAAAAAAGAAAGGGTAGGGAGAGAAGGAGGGAGAAGGAGAAAACGGGGGATAGGGAGAGTGAAAAGGAATGAAGGTAAGGAATAGGAAGTGAGGGTAGTAAAAAGAAAGGTATGAAGTGAGGTAGCAAGATGGGTGGTTGGGTGGAAGAGCGCCTATCTTCCCCTCCCACCAGACACCTTTCCCCCCCTCACTTGGTTACTTTATACAGTACTATTATTCCCCTCCCACAACACCTGTGTAAAAATAAACGTACAAGGAATGGGGAAGGGGTGTTAATCCACGTACTGGAGAACCCTACCTGTTCTCTGTCTTCATAAATCGCAATGACACGAATGTAAACAATTCGCCACATAGACGACTCGAACCCATGAGAAGCGTCCTAAAGTGACACTGTGCGGCGAGTTGTTTACAACAATGTCATTACGATTTATCAAGTCATTCATAACGACTCTGATGGGACTTGTAGCCAGATCTCCCAACAGCCTTGTTGGTGAGAGTCTTCTGTAGAAACCTGTACTGTAGTCAGATGGATGGATAATGATGGATAATGAGAACCTTCAAAACTAGGGAGGCCAAGCCCATGATGACACTCTTCAGGTTGCTTGTTCTATCTAGGCTGGAATATTGCTGCACATTAACAGCACCTTTCAAGGCAGGTGAAATTGCTGACCTAGAAAATGTACAGAGAACCTTCACGACGCGCATAACGGAGATAAAACACCTCAATTACTGGGAGCGCTTGAGGTTCCTGAACCTGTATTCCCTGGAACGCAGGCGGGAGAGATACATGATTATATACACCTGGAAAATCCTAGAGGGACTAGTACCGAACTTGCACACGAAAATCATTCACAACGAAAGCAAAAGTCTTGGCAGACGATGCAACATCCCCCCAATGAAAAGCAGGGGTGTCACTAGCACGTTAAGAGACCATACAATAAGTGTCAGGGGCCCGAGACTGTTCAACTGCCTCCCAGCATACATAAGGGGGATTACCAATAGACCCCTGGCAGTCTTCAAGCTGGCACTGGACAAGCACCTAAAGTCGGTACCTGACCAGCCGGGCTGTAGCTCGTACGTTGGATTGCGTGCAGCCAGCAGTAACAGCCTGGTTGATCAGGCTCTGATCCACCAGGAGGCCTGGTCACAGACCGGGCCGCGGGGGCGTTGACCCCCGAAACTCTCTCCAGGTAAACTCCAGAGTGGGACCCATGATAACCTTCCTAGTGTGTATGGAAATAAATCTAACTGGGTAAGTGCTACGAGGCCGGCATGGTACAGAGGATAACGCACTGACCTGCGAGTTTTAAGACATGCTTGCCATGGATTCGATCCCTGCATGCTGTGAATTTCCTGCCCTCGCCTAGTGGGCATCAAAACTATCCATGGCAACACCTAAACACACACACAAAAATAGCCACAATAATACAATTCACACTAAAAAACACAGGAGAATATCAGCATAACATTCCGAGGATCAGAGTGCAACAACACCTTTCCAAGGACCAGGTCGCACTCTGAGGTTGAGGTCTATTCATCCTTAGGAGGCCAGGTCACCCTCCGAGAATGTTGAAGGCACTATGAATGACGTTGGCACTGTGTAGGAATGTTGAAAACACTGTTTAATAATGGTGTGGGCACTGTCAAGGATTGCAAGCAACAACTGTCACACAGACAAGCATACAGACAGACACGTAATTAAGAAGCAAATCTCTGAACAGTTCTACTGACACCATTGTTTTGTAATTCTAGATAATACAGGGTGACATATAGCGCCCCCGTGGTAAATGCCCGGGGAGATGCGGGGGAGGCATAATGGGGCATTACTTGCTTAATTAGTGCCCCCCAGGCGATTACCACACCTGTGGTATATAATCAAGACAGGTGAGGCCTGGTGATATACCAGGTGGTGAAATATTGCTGCTGTAACTGTCGCAGTGTATTGGTGACACTGTCTAGTGGTGACACTGACCCAGTGGTGACAATATCTGGTTGTGACACTGACCCAGTGGTGACAATATCTGGTGGTGACACTGATCCAGTGGTGACAATATCTGGTTGTGACACTGACCCAGTGGTGACAATATCTGGTGGTGACACTGACTCAGTGGTGACAATATCTGGTTGTGACACTGACCCAGTGGTGACAATATCTGGTGGTGACACTGACCCAGTGGTGACAATATCTGGTGGTGACAATATCTGGTGGTGACACTGACCCAGTGGTGACAATATCTGGTAGTGACACTGACCCAGTGGTAAAAATGGTGGTGACACTGTCCAGTGCTGACGACACTGTCCAGTGCTGACGACACTGTTCATGGTGAGGGTGGCACTGTTCATGGTGAGGGTGGCACTGTTCATGGTGAGGGTGGCACTGTTCATGGTGAGGGTGACAATGTTCATGGTGAAGGTGACACTGTTTATGATGATGGTGGCGGCAATGCTCATGGTGCTAACTGAAACGTAACAGATAAAGCAGCACCACCAATTCAACAATAATTCCCTGAATATGTCAGTCATTCACCTAACAAACAACAAGCGAGTGACACCATAGTCAGAGATGATACTTCCCAAGTGACAGTAACTCCAGCTCTGCTAGATGTTAACTGATGAACCTTCACGATACCATCACTGCCCTACTGAAGTCTCCCAGCTCAGGCTGACACATTTCAACAGTGTATGTCTACCTGGAGGGTGTTCCGGAGGTCAACGCCCCCACGGCCCAGTCTGAGACCAGGCCTCCAGGTGGTTTAGGACTTGATCAGCCAGGCTCTTACTGCTAGCAGTAATGTAGACCAACGTATGAACCACAACCCAACTAGTCAGGTACTGACTTCAGGTATCTGTCCAGCTCCCTCCTGAAGACAATCAGGGACAGAGTGACCCATACTTTTGATATGCCTCTACCTTTGATGAGTTCCCAGAGTTTTTCTACTTCTAGAACCCGGCCTTGGGCCGGGCTCGCCTTTTGTGATGAAATTATGGCAGGGAAACAGCTAGTTTTTCTATGTAACTAACATAGAAAAGGGTAGTAACACACTGCTGATGTAGCAAGTTTTCACTAAAATAGTGAGGTGCAGTTACCTGTGAGGTGTGCAGTTGACCGTAGTGTAGTTACCTGTGAGGTGTGGTGCAGTATGAGACAGTGAGGTGGTGCAGTTACCTGTGAGGCGGAGTATGAGACAGTGAGGTGGTGCAGTTACCTGTGAGGTGTGGTGGAATAGGAAGGCTGATCAGCGCCACGGTAGACGTCTGTGAGTGACCTGGCTCTGGGGTGGTAGTAACGACCTGACTCATCCCGTGTAGACGACTCCTCCCCCGTCAGGTCAGCACGACTCAGCCGTGATGACGCTCCTCCTGCTCCCTCTGTCTCTCTTTCCAGTGAATGGTGTCTGGAGAAACCACACACACTTAATATTAAACAAAAAACATTAAGACTAATTAAAACTCCTATGATCTACCTGTTATCTTACAAGATATGTGGGAGCGAATTCTCCCTATCTTACAAGATATGTGGAAGTTAGAATGTGTTCTTCCTGCTATCTTACACGGTATGTAGTAGCATGTTCCTCCTGCTATCTTACAAGATATGTGAGAGCGTGTTCCTCGGGCCATTTTACAAGATATGTGGGAGCCTGTTCTCCCAATCTTACAAGATATGTGGGAGCCTGTTCTCCCAATCTTACAAGATATGTGGGAGCCTGTTCTCCCAATCTTACAAGATATGTGGGAGCCTGTTCTCCCAATCTTACAAGATATGTGGGAGCCTGTTCTCCCAATCTTACAGAAGATTATATGTGGGAGCCTGTTCTCCCAATCTTACAAGATATGTGGGAGCCTGTTCTCCCAATCTTACAAGATATGTGGAGCCTGTTCTCCCAATCTTACAAGATATGTAGGAGCCTGTTCTCCCAATCTTACAAGATATGTAGGAGCCTGTTCTCCCAATCTTACAAGATATGTAGGAGCCTGTTCTCCCAATCTTACAAGATATGTGGAGCGTTTCATCTCAGATATAATTACTAACGACAGTAGCACTCCTGGGTTATTAACCTGGGTTATTCTGGAGTCGGCTCGATACTCCGTCTGGTGCACCAGTATGCGACATCATCCATAATGACTGGTGGAGGCTCGATGCTCCGTAATAAGAACCTTAAAACATGGACATGTGATCCTTTCTTATTAAGGGGTTGCAAAACCTTAAATTTAAGATTCCACGGGGTTGAGCAGTAAGCCAGAGGGGGGAGGGGGGGGGGGGAGGGGGGAAGGTCTCTGTCACAAGACCAAAAGCTTCACCGAGTGTCATTACAATGACCAGGTAATAAGAAACGTAATGAAGACACGTATGAGAAAAGATGAGGTAATCAGTCCCTCAGCCAAGACTGAGGGACTGATTACCTCATCTTCTGTACATAGTTCTACAGTCTTCACATTGTCCTTATATTGACGAAGTCACTGAAGGGCGAAACATCTACAAATAAAGATACTCAGATGTTGCACGTGTGTAATTCTTTAACTTGTGAGTATTACCATTCATGTACAATGAGAGACGTAAACTGTGCCGTGTGTAGCCACGTCAACAACTTCATCCACAACTTGCTGACTTACCTTATTCACCAACGATCAGTTACTACACAAGTCGTGTAAATTCACTGTTGTAATAACTGAGCAAAAAATTCAATTTGAAGGTCATTAATGTATTACACTGAAGCTAAGTAACATTAATTGATGCTAACTTAAGACTACCACTGTAAAATTAACCTAACTTATGTTACATTAATTATACCAACATTAGGGAAATATTAATTAGTTTTGCTGCAGAGAAAGTTTTGTGTGTATATATATATATATATATATATATATATATATATATATATATATATATTTTTATTATTTTTTTATTATCACACCGGCCGATTCCCACCAAGGCAGGGTGGCCCGAAAAAGAAAAACTTTCACCATCATTCACTCCATCACTGTCTTGCCAGAAGGGTGCTTTACACTACAGTTTTTAAACTGCAACATTAACACCCCTATATATATATATATATTGTGGCCAGATGGACATTTGAGCGTCTAAGAAAGTACAAGACATAATAATATGGACAATATAGATCAAGGAACATTTTTACTGTGTTATGTCTAAACACAGCAGGAAACACATGCATTATACAACACACGCATTATACAACACACGCATTATACAACACACGCATTATACAACACACGCATTATACAACACACGCATTATACAACACATGCATTATACAACACATGCATTATACAACATGCATTATACAACACATGCATTATACAACACATGCATTATACAACACATGCATTATACAACACATGCATTATATAACACATACATTATATAACACATACATTATATAACACACACATATATTATATAAAACATACATTATACAACACATACATTATACAACACATGCATTATACAACACATGCATTATACAACACATGCATTATACAACATGCATTATATAACACATACATTATATAACATACATTATATAACACATACATTATATAACACATACATTATACAACACATGCATTATACAACACATGCATTATACAACACATGCATTATATAACACATGCATTATATAACACATACATTATATAACACATACATTATATAACACATACATTATATAACACATACATTATACAACACATGCATTATACAACACATGCATTATATAACACATGCATTATATAACACATGCATTATATAACACATACATTATATAACACATACATTATACAACACATGCATTATACAACACATGCATTATAAACACATGCATTATATAACACATGCATTATATAACACATTAAACATTATAAACACATCATTATAAACACATACACTGCATTATAAACACATACATTATATAACACATACATTATATAACACATACATTATATAACACATACATTATATAACACATACATTATATAACACATACATTATATAACACATACATTATACAACACATACATTATACAACACATACATTATACAACACATACATTATATAGGGTTTATACACAAATATACTAAAATATTGGCGAGGATCATTGTACTGTATTAAAAATATTAATATATTAGTATTATTAGAATAATATTAATAAGTATTATTAGTATTATTAGAATAATATTAATAAGTATTATTAGTATTATTAGAATAATATTAATAAGTATTATTAGCGTTTATTATTATTTTATATATGGGGAAGCACTAAACCCGTAAAGTCGTACACCGCTCGGAGAAGGAAGTAAGGTTTGATCCGAAGGGGAGGAGCAGTAGCTCTCATTCCTTGGATCCAGAGCTCCCACAGTGAACCAGTGTGCCAGCAAACCATCACATCATTTATGTAGAGCACTAAACCCGCGAGTCACCGCCGGGTGTGGTGAAGGCTCTATCCTCCGTACATTAAACAGGATCAACCAAGCATCACTAACACCAGCATCAACAAATATTTGTCTTGTTTCCTGGCAAATCTGACCTAACTTAAAGATGCAGAGGCCAGACCTCCATCCAAGAGGTCTGGCCTCACGTTCTCGCTCGCTCCCTTCCCTAAGTTCTCCTATTCAGGAGTTCTTGATCCAAGAAAATGGATCCAACCTGAATACCTCCCATTTCCCAAGTGCTATATGGTCTATACCTGAATAAAATAAATTAAATTCCTCATTTTCTGCTTATTTCTTTTCCATTCTCTTCTTTTCTCTCCTTTTCTCCCTTTTCTCTCCCTTTCCTCTCTCTCTCTCTCTCTCTCTCTCTCTCTCTTCTCTCTCTCTCTCTCCTCTCTCAGACTTCTTCATTATAGTCTCCCCAGGATGTGGTTTGGATATTTCATAATGAAAGATTCCCTCTCTCTTACCACATTATTTTCCTGCAGATTTTTTAATTATCTTCACTGTAATTTTTGTAGCAACAAGAAGCGTACTTCTGGCCACAACCTCACGTAGCACTATTAACAGTACACAATATTCCCTCATGTTGAATATCCTCTTCGTTTATGTAGACAGTCTTCCATGATTTAAGTGACTCACTTAAACACAATGTTCCTAGACACAGTGTTCCTTCAAGTATCTCTCGCACTTATAAACATAACAAAGGTCCAAGGCAAACATCGAGATATTGCTATGATTCAAGAACCTCGTTAAATTTTGGTTGCTTGATTAGGTTTAAACTATCGACGATACAAGGGTCATTAAGGCTGCACTTAAACACCTGCTCACCCCTAGTCAAGACTATTTTAATCTCAAAAAATAAGAATAAAAAAAATTCTGTGTACATATATACACAGATACATACACTCTTCAGTGTATATATCCATAAATGTCGAGGTTTTGCTGGTATGCTTCCTCAGTAAGTATATATACTCAAGGTGTTATTTTTATGCCCATTTTTTTTTTTTGGCTCTGCTATCAAACATCATCTGAGACTTGTGTGCCTTCAAGAAGGTGCCATTATATACGTGAAGAACTCTTATCCCAGAACTGGAGTCACCTCTCACCTTGTTTTTAAGATCAAACCTCATTAGATCATACACTCGTATTTCCCAGGTACTCTATGACACCGTTGGTATTACCGCTTTCCCAATTCAGTAACTAACAATTGCAATAATAATAATAATAATAATAATAATAATAATAATAATAATTTTTTGTACTATATTTATTGAACATAAAAACTTAAGAATGGATGAATACTGCCGCAGGCCTACTGGCACATACTTGGTAGGTAGTCAACTCCAGAAAGTTTCTCACAAATTTGTTCAGCCTATTAGTATAAATATTATAATCGGTTAAACTTTGCTAATTCATATTAACCTATGCAGAAATAAATACTGATATGCCCAGTGAGTCACAACCATACCTTCCTGGACGGTTGTTGTGTAGCAGGCAGTTATATATGAAGAAACAAAAGGGTGGATGAGGGGCTCGAACGGCGGTCACTAAATTGACAGTCCGACGCTTACTTCGGAATCTTTGTTATTAGAGGTTTGGTTTAGCCTAAAACCTGGGAAACCTGCGGCCTACTAGGGCATTAAGTGCGGCCTTCTGAATTAATTATTTTTCCCGAAGTTTTTATATAATAATTAATTTTTAACAAAATAACCGACATTTTGCAGTATATCTAATTACATTTAACTTTTAAATAGCCTTCCAACATTAAAAGGTTCCTCACTCCTGGGCTAGACGAGAGCGTCGAACTGTCAATTTACGGACAGCGGTTCGAACCCCTCGTCCATGCTTTTGTTTATTTATCGAGAGTTATTTATTACAACTTGAGTTCACAGATACATATATTGATGACTGAATTACCTTGCGGAGTCTATTGATGATGCCCTGCGTGTGGTGGTGAGTGTGGGAGTGGTGGTGTGGGCGGTGAGTGGTGTGGGCGTGGTGTGATTGGAGCCTAAGTTGTGTGTGAGTAAGTTACGTAGTCTGGTGGACACTGCCTCCCCCTCCCGCACCAGCAGGTCCAGGTCGCTGTCATGGCGACCCACACTCCCGTTCACACGCTGAAAAACACAATTATAAAATAATCCTAATACTTCACTCATTATATATTAAACTAAATGTTACGTAATGATTACACGAATGTGTATATTCATAATGAGAGGTGAAGAGTATATCACATGGTTGGTTAATTGTGTATAACGTTGACCCACTACACGAGGGTCATTAAGGCTGCATGTGACTAGTGCACCACCAGTCAAGAATACTTTAATCACTTAGATTAAAATAATCTCTCAAGTGTATATACATTGAAAAAATACATACCTCTCCGTTATATATCCCTGCGTATATCATATAGAAAAAATGGCAATCCAGTTAGGTATGTATAAAGAAAATAGTCTTATTTACACACAATACTACAATTTTTCATCTATAATTCTGCACGGGAGAAAATCTATTTTGGATTTAAATTTTACTGATGGCATTTTAAACTACTGTAATATTAACACTGTCTCAGACTATGGCTCTATCCTTGGCTTTGGCTCTTTAAGGGGAAGAGAAAGGACGGCGAAGGGCTCTTGATCTTAAGAATGCCAGTATACCCTCCCTCCCTTGGGTAAAACCTGGTTGCCTCCCATTTCTCTGGCACTATATGGAATTAACGCTCCCCGTGAATATAATTATTCTTTCTCTGGCTCTCTTACATCAGCTTTGCCCAACAAAGTCCCGCCTTAAGAACAAAACATATTTGTGTGTAGACAGATATCAGTGAGACTGAAATCCTGACCACACAAAACAACTTCACCAGCTTCTGTTCCCAGCCAATTCGTTGGTTCTTAAGAGCCTGAATCAGTTTGGCAGGAGATACGCATTACGTTCCTCGCTGCACAACCAAGGTAGGCTGAGGGTAGGATGCAAGGTGGGTGACGGAACTATAAAGCTCTAGGGTAGCAGGAAAAATTCAGCCTCCAGGTTACATAAAGGGTTTAGAAAACCGACAAGTTGATAAATGAGAAACTTGTGCAACACTTGGGAATCTATATTCCGGAAACGTTTCGCCAGCCAGTGGCTTCTTCAGTCCAAGTGCGCACTGTTATCAAGACTGATGGACTGAACACATCGACTCCAGGCTGAGAGACGGATTAGCTCAAATTTCTCATCTTCCCCCGTATTTCTGCATTGGACTGGCGAAACGTTTCCAGAATAAAGATTTATTTATCAAGCTCCAGGTTACTTCTCACCACAAGTGATGTGTACATAACACTGTGTGTGTGTGTGTGTGTGTGTGTGTGTGTGTGTGTGTGTGTTTTATTTGCAGCAACTTTTAGCAATATTTAATAGAACACGCAGCGTATAAGAGTTTTGAGAGAAGCTTGTCTGACACGCAACCATCAGGTAAACTACAACAACCTTACCTCCATAAGGCAATATCAAATTGTACCTCAACAAACTAGATTTATGTTGAGAGAATATAAATTTGTTGCAATGATAATCATACCTGTACAAACACTTTTATGTTAATACCGACACATTGTGGGGAATAAGACACGTATGAGTTATCAATATATTTATAGAAGGAAACGTTTGATGAGTTTTCATCAATATTGAAACGCCAACGATGGCGAAACGTCTGCTTCAATAAATGCATTGATGGTTCGTGTGTGTTATTCGCACACAATCATGTCTGTGACCTGTTGCAAGAGTGTTAAACTTACTGAATATGACTTCACGGTGAATCTTTCATAGGTTTTCTTCGCGTGGAGTAACGCTTCACTGTGAGGCCGTGGTCGAGTACAGTATATTGAAGATTGTATCTCTGATCAGTTCCTCATCATTCGTCAAGATCATATAAAGTGTATGTTCGTTTTACGCAGGTTGTCTTGGCTGTTAGTTCAAAGCAAGATTCTCGTAGAAACACAGAAGCTATCTGGTACGTGTCTCTTGGGCTACTGTGCTACCAGGTACTGTATGGAAAGACACTGTGTACTGTTTCAGGCACAATGCTATCGTCTACCACTTTCCATTTAAGATTCGTGAGAGGTCATCCGTCAGGGCTGGAGGCTAGACTCCAGGCTGACCCCTCGAGCTCTCTCAAGCCAGGTCACACACACTCGTACATTTCCACACACCTGGCAAAATTACACATAATTGCATAACACGTCTCTGGCAAATTACCTTGAGCGAAGGTGTGCATAATTATGAAAAAATCATTATATGTGACGTGTTTCCACAACTCTCATAACTATGTCTGCTGGAAAACATAAACGTCACAGCATGACACAGATCATGTTAAGGAACACTGTCGGGGAAATGGTTTAAGAGAACGCTTGAGCAAACATTAGGGTATATTTATGAGAAAACGTTTCGGTCCTAGGACTTAACGTCCCAAGAGTGAAACGTTTTCTAATATATACTGTAGTGTGCAAATTAAATGGGACAAGAGTAAATTTTGTGATCATCTCTTAATATGTCCTACTCTCCGGGCTAATTAATGTAGTTTGGGTTGTTTTCTTTTTCAGAAGAGTTTGCTACCGACTTCTGGCAACAATCTATCGCTGGTGTTACCCTGCCACTCTTGTTAGTGATACAACAGCTGTTGTTCTGTAAGGTTATTCCTGCAAGTGTGCTCCGTGAATGTGGTTTCACCAAATTCTCCCCTTCAGTTCACGATTACTGCTGAAATTCATGATGGATGTTACACCTAGGAAGTGTGTAAGTATTAGACAGATCGCAAAAAATCCGAGCCCAGCAAAGTCAACTGTTGGTCGGATTCCGAAGAGAGTCGATGACACTGGTGATTGTGGGGCGCTGTATCTAGGAAGATATGGACGAAAACACACATCTCACGATGTAAAGGTTATCATAAGAAATAGTGTGAAGGATCCCAAGAAATCCAGCAAAGATCTACAGAGAGATTTGGCTTCAGCTGGCGTAAATGTTGATTCTTCAACTGTTCGACGAAGGCTCCTTGAAGTTTGCAGAACTGCCAGAAAGCCAGTAAAAAAAATAAAAACGGCTATCGTGGGTACCCGAGCATAAGGGATGGACAGCAGATGAATGGGTACAGATCAGTGGGAGTGAGACTAAGCAAAGACTAACCTTTCCGGAAAGGACATATTCAACAAGAGCCAAAACACCCACCAAATTAGGTGTTTTAGGGTAGTTTTACTACTAAAGGCCCTGGAACACTTGTTATTGCTGGGGGAACGATGAACTGACAAATACAAGGCAATCCTGGCAATTCATTTGCTTCCCATTGTGGATAGAGACTTTCCTGATGGAGAAGGCATTTTCCAGCAGGATGTTGCTCCATGCCGCACTTAAGTAAAAATGCTGACATTGGCCTGGAAACTCTTCTGACCTCAACTCAATTGAGAATCTATGGGCAATAACCTAATGCAAGATAGCAAAACATGACTGTTCACCTGTGGAGAAGCTAATTGCTGCTGTTGTTAGGACCTGGTACCACGACGAAGAACTTGCCAAAATGTGTTCAATACTGGTGGATTCTATGCCAAAGCGTGTAGCAATGCTTATAAAAGCAAAGGGTAGTCATATCTCTTATTAAATCAATTATCTGTCATATCGCTGCAGTATATTTTTTCAACTAAACATTAATTTTCCAAATAAATGTCTTACTTCATCACTGTCCCAATTAAGCACACTACTGTATGTCCTATTGTTTGTGCACTTATCTCTGTAAAACAACTGTCACCATCTATCGCCAAGGTTTATGAGTATAACATACGAACTAGAGGGAAAATCCAAACACTTTGCAATAACAAGTCTTTGGGCAATCTTTCTAACGCACAGACAAACACCACAGAAGCACTCAGCTTGGGGTTAAAACTTCGCCCTCAAACCGATGACTAACCACGCACTGGATTATAACACAACTTCTGACAAATACTTTAGCTAACAATGCATCAAGGGAATTTTCTCAGAAGGCATCCAAGACTGTTTTAAGAACAATGGTTTACCTCAGTGCTTCAGTCTTTCTCTACAAGGATTCATACGCAATGACATCGTCACCAATTCAGACAAAGGGGAAAAGATAACGATTTTGAATAAAAAATTATTACTTCACCAAAGCCTATCATATTCATTATGTGGACGATAGTGGTTAGTTTATTAGGCTCCCCGTATCCATCGTATGGACGGTAGCGCAAGCGTATATGGATACACAGAAGGCCTAAAGACTCGCCCCAAAAGGGTTAACAGACTTTTTATATATTAAATGACAATAACAGAGAAATTAACCAAAAATCACCTCCCTACCTGAAGCAAAGAAGTACGAGCCATTGGAAATAACAATGAGGACAATGACATTTTACTTCAATGCAAAACAACAAACCCAAGTCTCCCTTACTCTTGTGGGTTACTCATAACCGAATCTTCTCCAGTTGAGGGTCATTCTCGTACAAATTAGCTAAATGACTAAGTGGTCTTCTGTCTCGGCAAGTTTTTCCCAGACATTTGATACATTCAGAAGACTTCATTGAAAAAGCTAGAAACATCAGCCTGCAGAATAAAAGGATGTTAAGTCTGGATGTGTATTCCTTGTTTACTAAATTCAAATTCAAATTCAAAGTTTATTCTCTATAAGGATTACAATGCTGAGTTTACAGAAATTTGTTTATTGTTTGGTTTACATGTAGTAAAATTGTGATTACAGAGTGTACCACTAGAACGCTTAGCATGGCTAGGCATTTCGGGCATACTTAGTTTTATTCTTAATTGTAAAATATTACAAATTATGAGGTAAGTTGGTATTATGGCTAAGTGTCTAAATACTAGTTTGTGAGTTTAGCAATGTGAATGCTTTTGTTTTGGCACAGTACATAGTTTCAGTATTGGAGTATCACAGGATTCATTATTTTAAGACTGAGATTAATATTTCTGTTTATGGTCAAATGAGTGAGCGAGTGTAAGTGTGAACCACCAGGTGGTATTCGTGTAGTTAGTTGACGGGGTGTATCAGGGAGATAAGATGTTTTCTAATGGTAGTTTTGAAGGTGATGAATGTGTCTGCAGTTCTAGAGTTCTCAGGTAGGGTATTCCA